AAAAAAGAAAAAAGAAAAAAGTCTTTGTCAAAGCAGAAGTCAAAGAGAGCAAGTGGAATGTACAAGGCTGCTTAAGGCATAGGCTCTACATTGGCAATATCCCTTCCATTACAATTACTGGGCAAAGCAAGTCACAAGACTGGCCCAAGTCCAGAAGGTGGGAAAATGGCACTTTCCCTTAGCCGACAGCATGAATGTGGGAAGGGTGGAAAATGGGTCCATCTTATCAACTTCTGCTCTCTTTACGGCAAGACCCTCTTCCACTGATCAGACCCTCGGGTAGAATGAGAAGCCACCACATTCCCTATACCCTGACTCACCTGTTACCTGGCTGAGCACAACAGGCTTCACCGCCCTGGTACCACATGACTTAGGGTCTCCATGTCCTGCTGAGGTTCTCGAGACCACAGAAAGCAGAGAGAGCAGGACAAGAACCTCATGAACACATTACAGGCTTGCTCTTCGAGCTGAAGTCTCGCTGTCAGATGTAGGTAGAATCACACCAGGGCACAAATGGATTTATATATGTTCCTAACTGGCTTCCACCGAAACACCAAGGCTGTGGCTGGGGACCTTCCGGTCAGCAGTCTTGGGGGTCCTGTCTTCTGGTCCCCTTGCTCATGTCCTGAGTACACATGAATCTACTGTCAGTGGGCCAACTCCTACAAGGCTATGTCTGTATTCTTCTTCCACTGGGAAGGGGAGTGAGTGCTTTCTGTAGATATTCGATAAGTAGAACACACACGAACACGAACGAACACGAACACGAACACACACACACACACACACAGAGTCTGACTCTCTCCTGTCAAAGCCGATAGTGAGAAGCTGCAGCTGCTACAAGCTAAAGCTTAAAGCACAAAGCAATGCACCTGATAGACGTGGCCACGTCTCCTCTCCCCTGTCCAATTTCACCACTAAAATGGACCCAGCCCCTTCTTGGACCCCTGAGGCACAGCCCATGATGCCTTACAGGGCACCGGCAGAAAAGCAAAACTTAAACCTGGCTGCACCCCCTGCTCCGCACCCCCTGGGGTGTTGTGGTCCCTTGCACCAACCCTATGGTTCCACCCCAGGCAGAAATAGTGGCCATGTGGCAGCCAGGGGAAAACCTATCTCACACAAAAAGCACATATTGTAATCCTCTTCCTAAGAATCTCCAGAACAGGCAAGTTTACAGAGCTAGAAAGTAAATCAGCAGGAGCTGGGTCGAGAGGAGAGCTGATAGGCGTGGAATTTCTTCTTGGGGTGAAGAAAGGTCCTGCAATTAGACAGGGGTGCTGATTGCAGTTCTGGGACAAACCTAGAGACGACTTATTGAACACTCTACATGGGGGCATTTCAAGGCATGTGAATTAGATCCCAATAAAGCTTTTTTGTTTTAGCTCGTTCTGTTTAAGGATCTTCTTGTAGGCTCGTGCATGTGTGCAGTGAACCCCTGACTTATGAACTCAATCGGTTCCCTAACGCAAGTTGGTTTTAGTTAAAACAGCTGAGATCTGGATGTTTACCTGGGTACACGCTATAGATAACAAGACGCAGACGACTCTTCCATTAACCTAATTAACCCAAGTTGTCCGTGTGTCAGGCCGGTCACAACTTGAGTCCACGGTATTTGCTTTCTGTCTACAGTTGCAGAGAAAGTCACCAGAGCTGCACTTGCCAGAACATGGGAGGTTCCATCGTGGTGTCCAAAAAGCCGAGCTGGGGCAGCAGGATCGGCCGCTGCTCTAGGACGGCAGCTCAGCCCTGCCTGTCAGAGCCCAGGGCGCATGCGTCTGGATTGGATGCCAGAGGGATGAGGGGATAAATGAAGGACATTGAAATCATCTGGGCGGGCGACTGAGGCTTCCACTTGTCATGCAAATCAGCTGGCCCAGGCCAATGGAGCCTGGGCTGAGTCTTAGGGCTCTGCGGCTGTCCTCGAGCCTGGAAGTCAAGACAAATGGGCAGAGGCTTTGCCCTTGCCAGCCCTATGCATCTTTCACAGTGTGGGCAGGAAATAAATGACTCCAATGTCCCCTTTGATACAGGCAATTGTTTAAATGAGACTTCACCCTAAGCAGCCAGGAGGGGCGGCTCCCACAGGCCCCTCCCAGCGGGTCCCAGAGCGACAGAGGGGTGCCTGGGCCAGTGTTTTACTAAGCAGAACACACTGCAGCCCACGGTCCCAAAACAGCCCCCAGCCGAGCACAGGGCCCTCAGGTCGCCGGGGGCTGGGCACAGCTCCCCGCTGGGCAAGGCATCCAGAAGGACCCCCTTCCTGGGGTGTGCTCCCAGTCCGAGACCCCACAGCTGCACAGCCGGTGGCCAATGCCCAGATAAGCTGTGACTCCCTGGGTTTGTCCAGAACCAGTAGCCTGGGGGCCAGAAACCAACTGGCATTCGGGAAGGCACCAGGGCAGCCGGGCGTGAAAATGGCCTCGGTATCTTGGCCTGCCAGTGGGTGACCGTGGGCAGGTTTCCTGTCCCATTGGGCTGGAAATCCTGGCATGGTCCAGAGGAGCAGACCCAGAAGGTGGAGGAGACACCTGCCCGGGACTGGCACAACACAGACGCTCACAAACAGCGTTTTCCCTTGACCCCTGGCCCCGGTCACCTCCCCGCAGCCTCAGTTCCTGAGCCCGACAGGACCTCCCCACTGCCCACTCCTGCACAGGATGTGACGAGGCAGGATGCAGGACAGACGATGCCTTCAAATCCTGGCACCCCTACCCTGCCAAGGAAGCTGGGGCAGTTCCTTACCTCCTCTGAGTCTTCTCCGAAAAGTGGGGCTAGGGACGATTCCTCCATCCGGGGCTCCTGGTGAGGAGGGAAGGCCGCACAGGTGGAGCACGGAGAGCCACATGCAGCCTGGCCCACTCCCTCCTTCGGCCCCTCTGACTCCTACTGCAATTAACCACAAGCTCCACTCCAGGGCCGTCTCTGCCTCTCCTCGGCCAGGATGAGTGGCCCACAGGCAGGGCCCGAGCCTCCTGAGGCCAGCCGAGGCCTGCACCTCCTGTCCCATTCACTGCCTGATTGGCTTCTCCCAGAACCTGTGGGAAGGGGCGGATTTCCCCGTCCTCCTGGAATCCAGAGCCCAGAGGTCTCACAGACAGAGTTCAGGGACATTACATGCCTCCAAACCACGTGCTACATCACGCACATGTGTGTGACTGTGTATTTCTGGAAGGAAAAATCTTCACCTTTTGTCAGGCCTCCAGAAGAGTCCATCTTTGTTTTCCTTGTCTCTTTATTTTCTTAACAGCACTTCACAGGCTCTGAAATCCTATCGTTTCCTTTTCCTTGTGGGTCTCTGCTGCTAGAAAGCAGCTGGGAAGGACTAGTCTTGTTTACGGTTATGTCCCCAGACCCCAAAACCAAGCTTGCTTCTCAAAGTCTTGCAAATGAATCAGCAAATGAGGTCCTTTGAATGGCAGTCTGTGGGGCTCCCCTCTAGGGGCAGCACCTGGGCTGGAGACCACTGAGTAGGGGCAGCTGCTCCTGGAGGAAGCGTGCACTCAGGGGAAGGCCTCCAAGGGCCAGGCTGGATCCACCTGAGAGGAGCAGAATGGGGGGCCTTAGAGAACAGCTCTTTTATCCCATTGTTTCCCACAGGGGTCAGAGCTGGGGGTTAAACACCACCGCACAAGACTCACTGCTCTGTTTTCTCCTGCTATGTAACAGACTGTCCCAAATCATGGTTGCTTGAGGTAATTTTACCACAGCTCACCATTTTGTGCTCAGGGATTCCTCCATCCTTTGCTTGGCTGGGTGAGCCCTCCGCCCCATGTGGCCCTGACGGCAGTCTCTCGGCGGCATCCAGCTGGTTGGTGGGCTGGTCTAGAGGGTGAGGGGCAGCGGTGGGATGGCTGCAAGGCTGGCCTGGGATCTGTCCCTGGAGTACAGCTCCCAGACACTTTAAGGACCTGCCCTGGGAAGCCACATGGCACCATTTCCTCCACATCCCCTTGCTTCTGGCACATGAAGGAGCCAGCCCTCCTCCAGAGAGAGAGGACCAGCACAGGGTCTCGGTGTGGGGCGTTTTCGGAGACTTCCAGCTGGGCTCAGGAGGGGGCTGAAGCCTGGGATGCCGGGTAGGGCTGGGAAAAGGCCAGGGGCCTCATCCTTTGGCCTCTTTCCCTAAAACAAGAAGCAAAGGACCAGAGTGGCCTCTGCCACTGGAACTTTTAGGGACCCATGTTCTTCAGTACTCTGTCCAAGGCGACTGCTCGACAGGTGCCCTGCTCCCTGCATTCCCACACGTCCAGGCGCATCTGGGACAGCGCCCCCTTGCAGACCACAGCCCCAGTGAAGAGAGGGGCAACCTAGGAGGGCTCTGCCTCCCGGGCTGCTCCTCCAGCCTCAGCCCCTCAGCCATCACCTCCAACTGCTGAGGAACGGAGCCTGCATTCGGCACTCGGTTGCATTTGGTTGTCCTGGAAGCTCAAGGTGATGGTTTGGGACAAGCAGAGCCTCTCCTGAGGGCTCCTGGGTGCCCAGCCATCCGGGGATCTTGGGCACAAGCCAGGTAGGAGGCTGGGGGGGAGTGGGGACACTGAGAAGGCGGTGGGACACAGGCCACAGACCTTGCTCTTAGACAAAGGGAGGGAACAGGGTCTCCAGCAGGAAGTCCCCAGGACCCCAGGGACGTCAGAGCCCACAGCTCGGCCCTGCGTGGAGAGCTAACAGTTGCCTGTCTCGTGTCAGGCTTCCTTCTCCTCAGCAGAACTCTAAAGTGAAGGCGGAAGGCCAGGGTTTGAGTCCTGCTGGGTGGTCCTGGAAGTCACTGAATCTCACTGATCTTCTTGGAAATGGGGGGATGTCACTGCACCCCAGTGGGAAGAATCAAAGCCACGGTGCAGGGAGTGCTTGGCACATAAGCCCCAGCAGCTGCAGCCATAGGTATGGCACCCCAGCGGCTGCCACCCGCACCCCTACTTTGCCACTTCCTGGGCCCAGATGAACTCTGAATTCACACTGACCTACAGTGGCATCACGCACCCCACATCCGCACACTAAAACTTTCTAGTGGCCACATTATAAAAGGTAAAAAGAAATGAGCTTTGACAGTATACATTTTATGTTTATTTAGAGTTGTCATTATTTTAATGTGATCAATATAAAAATTACGATATATTACAATTTTTACATGAAGTTTTCAAAATCAGTGTATTTTCGTGCTTACAGCAGGTGTGAGTTTGGTGTAACCATGATTGAGTCCTGTGGGAACACTATGGACAAGTTAAGAATGTGCCACTCAGGCCATTCTGTACTGAGAGGCAAGAGGCCCTGACGTGGCCGAAGGAGGTGTCTGAGCCTCCTAGGTTAAAGATGCAAGAACTTGCCAGGCACGGTGCTGCACACCTGTAATCCCAGCACTCTGGGAGGCTGAGGCAGGAAGATTGCAAGTTTGAGGCCAACCTGGGCAATTTAGCAATTTAGTGAGACCCTATCTCAAAACAAAAGTAAAATCTGAAAAGGGATGGGGATGTAGCTCAGTGTGAAGACCCTGGGTTCAACCCCCTGTATCACACACGCGCGTGCACACACACATGCGCATGCACGCACACACACAGATACGAAGAACTCCCTCCCCAGGGTTACCAACAATCCTTTCTGCATTTCTCCCTCCAACCACATGGCTGAAGAGGAAAAGGCAAATTACCAAGAAAATAAATGGTTTATTTTTCTCTGTATCCACAGCAGATAAGTATTACACAACCACATAGAACCATGCCCCTCCTGGCAGAAAACAGTCTTTACTGTATGTGTACAAATAAAAAACCCTGGCGTTGGGGCTGGTGATTTAGCTCAGTGGTATCGCCGCCCGCTGCCCAAGCACAGGGACCCGAGTTCAATCCCCGGTACCCCCCGCAAAAAAACCCTGGCGTTGACCTGGGGCCACAGAACTGTAGACCTGTGGGTAACAGAGGCATGGGATTACCTGGAGATTACCCTCGGGGGACCCAGGCGCCTACCAGGGCTGGCGGAGACTACCAGGGATCCGGAAGCCCCGAATCACAGACTCCCGAGTTCAGGGCTGGACGTATGAACATGGATCTAAAAGACAGAGGCTAAAACTTGAGGAAAACATCTAGAAACAGACGGAGACAAGAAGGGAACAGTATGGTGTGCGCTGGCCGCTGCTAGTGTCAAAGTAAGAAAGACCCAGGCTTTACAAAACAACAGGACCCTGGGATGTGATGGAAAACAAACCAAAGCCCAAAACACCCTTGGCTATATCGAGATCCTTAAAACAAAGCATCTCAAACTTTTCAGCACAAGTTTTTGAGGTCAGTCCTCCTTCGGGGAGTGGGACTGGGCTTCTGGACGGCGTGGTTCTCTGGAGGCTGAGGACGCGTCATGAGCTTAAAGGGCAGCTGCAAAGACAGGCGTATGGTGACATTTGGGCAGATGCCACTTTCTGCAAGTGGAAAAGAACTGATCTCGGTGGTTAGAGAGTTTTGTGCGAGCAAAAGAATAAGGCTTTCCTATTTGATCATCGGTCTATAGAAAGTTTGACATCCCAGGTAAAGAACAAAAGCAAGTTGCAGGCTACTTTGTGTACAGGTCACTCTGAACATCTCTACCTTAGGTGATAAGCAGAGAGCAGGCAGACAAAGCAGGGTCTGGTGGAGCAAGCTGTGTGGAGCCAGCCCAGTGAAATCCTGCACTTCCTGTTTCTGCAGAACTGAGCACGGCACACCCGGAGAGTCTCAGAGGTTAAGATGCAATGCCGGCCACCCATCTGCCACAGCCCAGAGCCCCCACAAAGTTCTCCCCAAGCCATGACAAGCAATTTCGTCTCTGCAGCATGCAGGTTGGCAGGGTGTGGGCAGGCTCGGTGACCCTGTCCTTGGGTTCTTCTTTCTGATGCTCCAACGGGGAGCTTGAGGCCAGGGCATGGTGTTCTCCACTCGTGAGTCTCCATCCTTGACCACGGTCATCAGCAGCCCTTGTGCTCTGAGAAAACCAGCAAGGCCTCTCCGAGCCCACCCAGCAGGAGGCTGTGAACAACAGCAGGAGGTCAGCAGCCACATCCAGGAGGGCAGGGGCACCGCCCCTTCCTTCTGCCACAGTCCCTCCCATTAACCAGCCCAGACCACCCTGTTGGCAGGTAAAGCCAGAAACTGCCCTGCCACCCCGGGGCCAAACCTCAGGTACGAGGCAGGTGGTGAGGGGGCCGGGCGGCTGGCTTCAATGCTGCCCCGGGGAGGAAGGTGCTGTGGTCGCTCATCTCGACCTACTGCTCTCAGGGGCTGGGGCTTAAGAGGCTTCCACAGGGCCTTGGGTGCTTTTGGCTAAAGAGGGTTGATGGATATGAAATTATGCAGGTATTTGTCATCTTCTAAGTAGTAAGGCAAGGATGCCTGACTCTTTCTGTTTCACTTAGACTGACAGAACATTTAAAGGTGAATGTACAGATGGGGAATCATGAGTTTCCCACAGCATGGAAAGAAATACAGTCAGTGATTTCCACATGAAGAAGCAGTGTGAGGACTGGAGCGAGTGAGGAAGGGAAGAACTGAATATTTTAACATGCCTAAAATGTAATACATCCAAAGGTCTCTCTGTTTTCTATTTTAAACTTCTAAATGTCTGAGTCCCCTATCATTTTTCTTCTAGGGTCTGGGCCATCACCGTAAAAGGCTTTTTTTTCAGAGGGGACAACTGTGCTTTCTGCCAGTCCTTTTTCTTCCCTTCCTCTGTCTGTCCTCCTGATACCCTGTCCTCTTATGTGCTCAGTTAGACATGGCACCCACGTATTCAGACTCAGTACCTTGATCTTTCTAACACAGTCTGGGGTGCTGGACAGGTGAAACATACAGGCTGCTCGCATTACATTCCTAGTGAAAAGTGCCACCTACGTGTGGGACTTTGACATATAGGTAACTAGTACCACTTTCTACTTTTAGTAGAAAAATGAACTGGCTATATGTGAAACAAAACCAATAAACTTGGAAGCAGGCAGACCTGAGTTCAAGTTTTGGCTTAGGCATTTATTTACTGTAATCTTATGGATGTTATTTAGCTTTAGTTTCCCCATCTGGACCATGGAAGCTGATCACATTTAACAGTGTCTGTGATGCAGAGAAACAATCCATCTGAAGCAGTTCACCCTGGGCTGGGCCTATGTTTTTGTCATTTTTCCACTGCTGAGGCAAAATACCCAATACCCACAACTTAAAGGAACAGAGGTTTATTTTGGGTTATAGTTTCAATGGGTTCAGTCCATGGTTAGCCAGCTCCAAGGCAGAAACCACCTAGTAGAAGGACCTGGCGAAGAAATCACATGGTAGAAAGGCCTACTTGTGTTACGGTGGGGAGAAAGCAGAGAGAAAAGGGAGAAGCCAGGGCTAAGAGATACCCTTCCAGCTCACACTCCTAGTGACACACCTCCAAGCAGGCCCCATGTCCTAAGAGCACATTCAGTTACTGAATCCACTGATGCGTACAGGGCCCCCATGATCTAATCACCTTCCGAACACATGAGACTTCGGGTGGACATTTGAGATCTAAACCATAATGTTGCCTATGATGGGCAATCAATACAATATGATTATTTTCTAACCAACTATACTTCTAGAGCAGCCATCCCTCAGTGGACCTCCTGGCGGCTGGCTGCCTGACTTCTACCTGAAGATGTCCAGTGAGAGGCCCGTCCGTCATGCAAGCCAGCCTGTGACACTGACGAGTACCTCTGTCATCAAACAAGTGTGTCTCATGGGCATCTTCACTGTTAAGGGCGCTGGACTGGCAGCCTTGGGGACTGATCGAGATATGGGTCCTCCTCCCAGTGCCCTAATACTTGTGAGTCAAGCCCTGCCTTCTGGGGAAAGAGATTATAGAAGCCTACTCTTTCCTCATCCTGGAGACTGGGGACGTGCTTGTAGCCTCTCTGCACCATCAAGGAGCTGGTCACTGAGGGAGGGCAGGCGGTGCCTCTACCCTGCTGACAATAGAGACTGAGGGTGTGTGAGGGAGATCCATGCTGAGTATCTGAAAGCTCCAAGCAGGAATGTCCTTTTCTTGTTCCTATAGGAATCCTATTATAATTAAGAATATATGGATCAATTCTATTTAACTATTTTAACATTTTGAAGGACAAGTCATATGTGAAGCTGGGGGCCTGCTTGTCCCTTGTCTAGATCCGTGCCCAAAGCTGGGGGCTCTGTCACCTCTATCCTATGGAAAGAAGAGGAAAGGAAAGGGCAAGCCATTCTTTGGCCCAACAGGCTTTTCTCTGAAGGCCTGGCTTTTCCCTTGAACCGATCTGCTGCTCCCCCAGTACCCAGTAAAGAACGCAGGTGCCATCTCTATGTTCCAGGCAGGTGCAGGGTCACTGCTACCCGAGGCGAGGACTGTACGGGGCTCTGTGTTGGAGGCTTTCACTTTTGCAAATGCAACTGGACTCAGCCATTTTATACACTTCCCACTAATCCTCCTTAATCACCAGGGAGCAACCCGCCTGGCGGCTGGCCCTGGGCCATTTGTCCTCCCACAGCCCAGGAACAATGCTGAGTCTAATGACCTTGCTTTTCACCCCTTTAGTGCAGTTACTTCACAAAACACCCACGGAGCTTAGTGAACGCTAAAATGAAAACAAGCCTTGGTTTGCTGACTGTGAAGAAGGCCAGGGAGGTGAGCTTTGATGTTGTTTTCCAAACAGCAGGAGAAGCTGACATAGGGTCCAAGAATCTTAATAGCATTACAACTATTTAAGTCAGAGCTTGATTGAACTGTTTGCAAATCTGGTAATCCCCGTCATTTCTGAAACGAACACACTTTATGTAGCTATGACATAATCATCAGATTGCAGAGCACATGTGGCCAACACAAGCTTCGCATCCCTAGGGTGATTTCAGCGCCTCCCAGCCCTTCTGTCTTTTAGGGGGACCAAAGGCCTCATCTCAATTTTATGTTTATTATTGTGGTCATTCATTTAATTCCTAGGAAACCCAATAGGATGGAGACTGTGCCCTTCTGCTGGCTGCAGGAATCCACCTAATGCAAGTACCAAGTAACTACTGAACCAATGAATGAATTATTAAGCTTGGACCCCATCTCCCATCCATATTCCAAATAACACCAAAATGTAACTGCCTGAAGTCGAATCCCTGCAGAGAGTTGTTGAGTGCCAACTGGTCATCCGATAAACTATGATAACATTGGAGAAGTCATGGGCAATAGTTATTGAGAAGGCTCTAGTTAGATGGCATTTTAAAGAGATTTCAAATTTTGACTTCAAATGGAAAACTGACAAATTTCAGACACTGTGATCCTAAAGGTATTTTGGAGTGAGGAAGTTTTCTTTGCTACTAAATTCATTTGCTATGCACAGGCTTGGGCAGTCTCTATGAACTCCCCTAAAAGCAAAGGGATCTTCGCTGAAAGATGAGGTAAGAGCATTTTCTAAAGCCCCTCAGTGTGGTTTTACCAGGACCAACATGAGCGACTCTCATAGTTGGGAGCCTCTGTGATCACTGGCAGGTCAGGGATGGCAGGCAAAGGAGAAGTCTCTCATGGAGCCCTTGGAGCACAGAAGTTGTGTTTTGGTTTTTCCTTCCCTGGTTTGTCCCTAGGCCATTCCAAAGAGAAGGGTGGCTCTCTGCTCTGTAAAAGGGGATTGAGAGGGGAGGCCCCACAACAAATTCTACCGGAAGGGATTTGGCTCAGGGGCCAGGACTTCTCTTTTCTAAGCATTGAAACTTCTTTGCCAAGATTGCAAAATAGAGGGAATGAATATCAATATACATCGTCAACCTCTGTTAATTAAAAAAATAATTAAATAAAAATCTGGATATTGAAATTACTAAGCTTGAAATGGTTTTTATAATTAAAAACAAGATAATTGGCTAGACAAGAGCAGTTGCTTTTAATTAAAGGCTTTAACAACTGACCAACGTTGGGCGCTTGGGTGGTGACCATCGGGGACAGTGTCAGGAGGCTGGTTACTCAGCTGCTCTCGGTGCCAGATGCCATGCAAAGGTACACAAACCCTTGCTCAGGATAAGCCTGCATGTGGAACTGGCACTTGGTGTCACCAGTGCTCGAAGAGCCAAGCCCAGAGTGGGTGGCAGGGACACTAAGGACAGGACCCCTGAGCTGATCCAAATCTGCAATCAGGAGATAAGCAGATTCTGTAGCATCTCGCTCCAGTTTCAAATGGCATTTTCTTCACTGGTGTCCATGCACCTTGAGACCAGTGATTCCCGACAGGGATGACTTTGTCCCTCCCAAGGGACGCTACACAGTGTCTGGAGACATTTTCCACTCCACCTTAGGGGGTGCCACACTAGCATGTGGTATCTGGGGTTCAAGGCACAGGACAGCACCCCCACGATGAAGAATTACCTGGTCCCAGACACTGATGGTCAAAAGTGAGAAACCCTACTTTCGATGCCTACTCCGTGCAGCAAAGCTGCTGCCCACCCAAGAAGGGGGACAATGGCATGTGCATGCACCACCCTCCCTGGAATCAGGGACTGTACTTTAGCTCTGTGGGCTCAGAGCCCAGCACCGCATGGAATGGATAAACTGACACAGGGGGGCGAGGACGCGGCTGGCCAGGTGGCGGGTGGCTGGGATGCTGTCGCCATGCTGACTTGAGCAACTGCCTAACATGTGCAAGCGCAGGCTCAACGTTAACTCCCAGCTGTTCCCCATTTCCCAAAGAATCTGGGAATCCGGACTTGTGTGTGGAAATCACCCGATTTCTAAATGGTGATAACTAATTCAAAATTTGGAAAGTAAAACACAGGAAACAATAACTATACAGGCAATTACAGTAGGTCTGAAAAAAACAGGCCTGCAGCAGCTGCCCTTTGCAACTTCGGAGACAAAGACCAGTCCACCCCCATCTAGGACCTAAGAGAGTCATCCAGCCACCCTGGAACACACTCAGTGTGCAGACAAAGCGCCCCGCGCTGCGCTAAGCTGTGCTAGACAGGGATCTGAACTGCAATCTGACTCTCCCCCTGCTGCGGTTGGAAAATTCTTTGAGGCT